ACAACGTCGGGCTATAGGCGGGATTCGAACCCAAGACGTTTCAGTTACCAGCCCGATAGCCTGACCGTTTAAGACCACGGATGATTTTCCAAGACTAACGCGTTTCTAACTCTACCTTTTCTACAATGGTAAAGGTTAATGGATGACTTTCTTTCGGGGAACCGCTCTATGTTGGTAGTTTGATTTTCGTGAGAGGAGGGGGGAGGGTAGGGTAGGAGGAGGAGGACGGGATGAAGGGAAGGGGTCAGCAAGAAGTTTTGGGGGGAGGCGGGGTGGGGGTGGAGGAAGGAGAACGGCACTGATGTGTAAACTGTGTGCGTATAATCGAGTGAAACACGAAACATTGTTACTCACCTCGAACACGATCTCTCAGTTTTCCCGAATACCTTATTAGTATTACATATTTACGAGGGCCGCCAAGCAAACTATGGTAAGTCACGTTCTTCAAATTTTACAGGAGAGACAAAAAACGGATTCCTTGAAACGTTTGGGTGGATAAACTTCATTTTCATAAAGGAGCCTAATGGCATTTGTAGGTTCCCTTATGAAAAGGAAGTTTACCAACCCAATACGCTTCTAGAAAATCCGGTTTTTTTTTGCCTCTCCTGTAAAATTTGAAGAACATGACTTACCATGGTTTACTTGGCGGCCCTCACCCGAATATGATCTCTCATATCACATCATATAGATTGCTTTTATGAGAAAAACAGGGAGGAGTTTTATGATTTACGATCACCCTGCATTACAACTCACCATATTCCACGTCTATATCGCCCACAGGTACAGTTCTTCAAGGCTTGGCAGCACTTTGCGGTGGCTTCACGAGAGAGACGCTTGAAGAAGGAATCTCAATTCCTGGCGTAAGATATTGACATTTTGTTGCAGCAACTATTTCACACCCCCATCGACATCATTTACATCTTCTAGGGGAGCGAGCTGCTTGAAATTATCGCCTTCAATGCTTAGGGGAATGTATTATCTCAACAGAAAAAGGGATGTGTTATATAAAATGGGCTTCGAGTCTTCACTGTGAAATCGAAATCATAGTCCTGTTTTTTTTCGGAAAGATGAATGTAATGTCATATCAACGACATTAAGTCTGGGACCAATGCAGAATGCTAAACTGGGTGTCTTGCCTTTTAAATGTTGTAACTGTATTGAAAAAGGCATGAAACGCCAACTGTAATCTCATAATGTCACTTTTCTCGAAAGCCCAGTCTCACTTCCACGAGTATCATTTCTCATTTCCAAGGAGCTATAAAGTTGCTCATATTTATCTTATTTCCCTGAGTATTCTGATCATATTTCATGTCATATCTACGACGTATCTGAGTATCATAATACAATCTCATATCATATCTCATTTTCTCAAGTATCATCTCACATCTCTTTTTAGATTTAGTAGAGGTTTTACAGCGCTCTCAACTGCATAAGGTCACATGAGCGCCAGAAGATTAGAGGTTTACAAGAGAGTAACAAACATAAAAAAGAAGAAGGAGAGATAAGGACGATAGATGTTTGATAGGGAAGAAGAAGCAAACCACACCAGAGCGCCGGCCAACCACCCATACCTCACATCTCTGAACACAACATTTCATATTTATTTTAAAATATCCCAAAACGCATGTGTTCTACTATCTCCTCTGTGGGTGGTTGGCGGGTGCTCTGGTGTGGTTTGCTTCTTTTTTCCTTTCAAACGTCTATCGTCTTTATCATTCTCTCCTCCATTTTTGTGTTTGTACTCTTGTAATACCTCTAATCTTCGGCACTTATATGACCTTATTGTGTTGCAAGTGCTGTTAAACTGTTACTAAAACTAAAACTAAACTTATCCCCCCCCCTTTTTGTTCCCCTACCCCGCCCCCCCTTCTCTCTCAGAGCTGACACGTTCTGCCGCCAGCGCCTCCTGGTCTACCACTACATCACGTGGTACCAACGTGCCAGACACAGCAGGAATTCGCGCCAGGCCCAGGCTCTGTTCACGCGCCACATGCTGACCAAAGGCTTCAACGCGCTGCGGTGGTCAGTGAGTCGCTCCCAGCACCAGACGGAGAAACTGCAGGACAAGGTGCACTCTATGCAGCTCAAGTTTTCCTTTATCAAGGTTTGAAATGTTTTACGTCACTATTAGTGCGAGTTAGAGTGTTTAGGAGCTGGTGACGAACTACAAGTACAAGACGAGGTCCACTCTATGCAGCTCAAATTTTTCTTCATCAAGGTGCTTGGTTTGGTGGGTGGGCGTGGATGAAGGGGAGGGGTGTGGAGTCGCTGGTAGTTGGGAAGGTTTACACCCTGACAGGTAGGAGTTTCAATGTTTAGGAGTTAGTGACGGACTGTAAGACAAGGTCCACTCTATTCAGCTCAAGTTTTTCTTCATCAAGGTACTTCGGGGGTGGTGGGGGAAAGGATGGGGTAGAGGGTGTAGTTTGAAATTTTCTACGTCGCTGGTACATCGAGTTGGAATGTTTAGGATGAAGTTATGGACTTCAGTACAAGGTCCACTCTGTTGGCCTACAACTCAAGTACTCCTTCATCAAGGTACTTGGTTTAGGGGAGGGGAAAGGGGGAGGGGGTTACTTTT